TGCATACCTGCCAACTCTTCCGGATTTTCCGGAAGATTTTATTTTCATATTTAAAGTGGTAGTAATTATATACTATTTTTTTCTTTTATAATCTTAATTTTTAAATGATTTTGATCACCACTATTCTTACAAAAATTAAGCACATATATTGATATGCGTTACTACCCTGGTTGTCAACTTAAGTTTGCTCATATACAACGTATTTGTTTGCTTAAAATTAAAGTTTTATTTCCATTTTAATACCACTGGGGTAAAATGATAATGGAAGGGATTAAAAGTTGGCAGGTATGGGTATATAGCAATTAAACATATTCAAATTTCATTCACTCACACTTAGAAAACCCCACACAAATTCTTATGGATACTATGAATATATACGAATTTACGAAAGCGGTATTTAATCGAAAATCTAATAAAAATAAGAAAGTGGTAGCAAATATATGTATAAATGTTTTTTTAATTCATGAATATGATTAGTTTGCCTGAATTACTTGTTAACCATCACAGATTCAGTTCTCAAATATATTCAATTTAATATAAATTTCTCTGATTTACTTTTAAAATGGTATCTAGTTTTGTGTGCACAAATTTTTCACTTTTTAAATAGTCTGCTCACACTACTTATTTAAAAAAAACGTGTAGTGCAGGGGTGTCAAACTCGTGGCCAGAGGGCGGCATGCAGCCCGAGTAGAACATTTTACACGGCATTTTACACTTTCTTTCGATACAGGTAAAATGGCAGGCCGCCACCCAATCACAGTTTGAGAAGTAAAGCGTGGGGTATTTTAGCTCATCAATTAAATTCTGAGACAAAGTTATGCCAATACAATTCTGCAATCAACAGTTTCTGAGAGGTAATTAAATTGCATACAGTAGCCTGCTATAGATATTTTTGATAGGTATCTTTGCTTTTGTGTTATTAACCCTTTGACGGTTATGAGCGAGTTCGGCTCGCAATCGAATCGTGCTTCACAATGCACGCAAACGAGTTCGAGCAAGATTTCGACCGTAATGGTTAGTAACGAGCACTACTCGCGTAGTGAAATTTTTCCCCAATGCGCGCTGACGAGCTGAGCTCGTTCGCCATTATTATTCCGCATTGACTATGTTAAAAACTAATTCTACTCGCGAAACGTAGTTAGTTTTATTGCCTACAGATGGCAGTACGGCTTCCATGAATTTCTTTTCATAATGAAGGGGGTATTTATTTTTTTAACTTGTTCTTTTTATGCGTATTTTGGCGCGTTTTTAGGGTGTTTGTAAAGTAAACTGGCTGAAAAGCAAGAGTTAGATATTGATGATTGTGATTGTGATACAAAAAGCTTATCTAGTTTTGAGTCTGATGAACACTTTGTTCAAAGTATATAGGTAATTACTGTATTTAAATGTTTCATAAAGTTTTACATTAGTTGTACTTATTTAGTCCTTTCAATTTAATATTTGTCTTTATATTTATAATTGATTATAATCATTTATACTTTACTATTAATAATTATCATTTATTATTTTAAAGTACGTAAAAACTGTTATTTATGTACTACAAATAATTTAAGAAATTTTTAAAACGCGTGAGGCGAGTTATCTACGGCATCGCCAGAGATGCCAACTTGCTCCGCTTTGTAGAATAGTATTTTCCAGTGGACAAGAAATTCAAGTTACTTTCAGTTTAGTATTTTTCCTTTTAAGTAATTTTTTCACCACTAAATATCAAAAATTATGAGTATCATATGAAATGCAACAATCTTGAAGCTTCGTTGCTACGATTAGAAAGTCATGGAGGTATTCGAGTGATGCTATGATGTGATGTCGTGGAGAAACAATTTGTGCTTTTAGGAGGTCGTAGAACTTTCGGATTTTCATTGGTGTCTTTTGAGTGAGTAATACCTATTTCATACTCTTGCAATCATGTATGTTTTTCTAATTCTGAATTAACTTAAGAGTATAAGTAGATGCAAGTTAAGTTAAACGATTCTGCCCGATATGGTAGCTTTAATTTACGTTAACATCACTGCTGAAGTTAATATTTGCAATCGTGCAACAATGGCTACGTATCACCACCACGCACGTGGCGGAAAGCGGCTGACCGAAAGACCTACACGTGGTTTAACGTCGGATGAGGAATGCTCGGATTTTGAAACCAAAATGGCTAAAGAGTTAGCAGACGTGAGAAGGAGAAATGAAGAAGATGAAAGGAAAAATAAAGAACTACTTGAGAAACGAAATAATTTGGAGCAGTCTCTCATGCCCGTGCCAAATAGGCCCGAAATACCGACTACATCAGCGGAAGTCACTGACATGAAAATTCATAAAAGCCGCCAAATTTTGAAACAGACTGGGAATGCATCGTCCATCGATTCAGGAAACTCATCCAAAAATAACACAAAACCCCCTCCCAAAAAACGAAAAAAGAAAAAGCAAAACAACTTGGAGAAATCGAAAATTTCTCCATGTCTACAAATAGCAGCCCTCCATCACTACTAGATGTCGCCACTTCCTTACAACTATCTAAAACCAATGTAGATCCTGACTTAGCCCAACCCAAGGAGGATTACAATGCAACTGCAGCTCCACCCACAACTTTAGAAACATAACTACCAATCAAGAATATTAAAGTTCTAGTCCGTGGACTTCCAGCTGGCACCAATACAGATCATTACATTGGCACCAATACATTGGCCAAGACAGGCATTAAAACCCAAAAAGTAATACAGTTCAGGAGAAAAGAGGGCGAGGCCTATATGCTCCTCCCCCTTTTTCACACAATACTAATCGAAGCAGATCAAAATCAACAAATCTTCTCAGTTACCAATATTTGTGACCGATATCGGTGAAAATTGAAAGGTTCCGCTGCGGGAGAAGCCCAATCCAATGCTACAACTGCCAAAATTACGGTCACACGCAGCGAATTTGCAACTCACAACCATATGTCTTAAATGTGCCGCAGACCATCGTTCTTTTGAGTGCCACAAAGACATAAATACACCACCCAAGTGCTGCAACTGTCTGGAGGCACACACTGCCAACTACACGGGATGCAGCATCCGTCCCCTCAGGAGAGGCCCTCGTGCAACTCCAGCTAC